TTTTCTCTTGACTGATTGCTCTAGACAAGACATGAATGCTGACTTTTACTACTTCTATTCAACATAGTGTTGGACATGCTAGCCAGAGCAATTAAGCAAGAAAAAAAAAAAAAGCATCCAAATTGGAAAGGAATAAGTAAAATTATCTGTTTGCCAATGACATGATTTAATATATGGAAAACCTTAAAGATGCATTGAAAAACTGTTAGAACTAATAAACAAAGTCAACAAAATTGCAGAACACAAAATCAGCACTCAAAAACCAGCTTGATTTCTAAAGACTAACAATTAACAATCCAAAAAGGAAAATAAGAAAATAATTCCCTTTACAATATTATCAAAAAGAGCAAAATATTTAGGAATAAACTTAACCAAAATAGCTAAAGACTTGTCCACTAAAAACATCACTGAAAGAAATTAAAGAATACACAAATAATTGGATATTAGGCAGTAGAATAGGGTTTGGAGGCAGGGAACATAAGGCCAATTCACTCATATTTCCTAGAACTAAATCATATGGAAATACTTCAGTTATGACAGGAAATATCCTCTCCATTTACATAGGGTGTACACTAAGTAAATTACTTTGTAACTTTACTTCATCCTCTTCATTTATATAGGGCTTACACTAAGCAATCAGTGGAAACCTCTAGAGGGTAATTAAATCCCAGAAAATTCTGAAACAGGGTTCTTGAGTCCCTATGCTCAGGACCACTCCCATACTGTGGAGTGCATTCTTGTTTTCAATAAATCTCTGCTTTTGTTGCTTCTTTCTTTCCTTGCTTTGTTTGTGCATTTTGTCCAATTCTTTGTTCAAGATGACAAGAACCTGGACACCCTCTACTGGTAACATATTTTGGTGAGCCAGCTAGGAGGTAAGCCCAAAGTTTGGGATTTAATTTTCTCATTTTCCTTTCTGCTTCATACAGGTGAATCTCTCTCTTTCTCTCTTTTCCTTTCCAGCTCAGGACCCTTGGTGAGCAGCAGCTAAACACGGAGGCAAAAGAAGTTTCTGGCCATGGCCAGTGAAACTAAGGGGTGTCCATGTGGAGGCGCCTAAGCACCACCACCTGGTTTGGGTAAAGGACTTGTGTTTTTTTCCCCTTTTTTTCCTCTCCTTCTTTACTCTTTTCTATCTTTTCCCATTGTGGTCCCTGATCCCTGCATGTGGCATAGCTGGGAGCAAACTCACACTCTTTTAAGGCAACTTAAACCTTCTTTTCTTATGCTAAATTCTTCCCTAAGGACAAAAGAAACCCACCTAGCCTCCAGTTTCCTATTATTAAAGTTCATAGCTATCACTCTAGTGAGGAACAGGAAGCATGGGAAAACGTGGTCTTACCAAATTAAAAGGCTGCTAGAAGTTAAGGCCTTCATCCAGGGACAAAAGGAAAGCCTATAGTAGGCCATCACCTCTGGAAAGAAAACATGCAAGTGGCACCGGGAATTTTGTTTTTCCTACCACAAGAAACAGCATCATGCTGGCATAAAGACAGATAAGACATTGGAATAGAATAAAAAGTCAAGAAATAAACTCTTGCTTATATGATCAAATGATCTTTAACAAGGGTGCCAAGACCACTCATTGGGGAAAAGACAGTCTCTTCAACAAATGGTATTAGGAAAACTGGATATCCACATGCAAAAGAATGGAGCTCAACCCTTATCATATACCTTATCCAAAAATTTACTCAAAATGGATTAAAGATCTAAAGCAAACTCCTAAAGAAAACATAGGGGAAAGCTTCATAATGCTGGAATTAGCAATAATTTCTTGGATAGGACATCAAACGTACAAACAACAAAAACAAAATACATGCAAATAAGACTGTATTAAAGTTAAGAACTTTTGTGCATCAAAAGAAACAATCAACAGGGTGAAATGACAACGTATGGAATGGGAGAAATATTTGCAAATTATATATCAATAAGGGGTTAATACCCAGAATATATAAAGAACTACAACATCAAAAACTCAAATAACCCAATTTAAAAAACAGGGAAAGAACTTGAACAGACATTTCTCCAAAGATGATATACAAATGCACAACAAGCATATGAAAAGATGCTCAACACATCACTAATCATCAGAGAAATGAAAATCAAACCCACATGAGATATCATTTCACATACATTAGGTTGTCTATTACCATAAAAATGGAAAATAACAAGTATTGCTGAACATATGGAGAAATTGGAACAATTGTGTGCTGTTGAGACTGTAAAATCGTTCAACTGGTATAGAAATGGTATGGGAATTCTTCAGAAAATTCAAAATAGAACTACCATATGATTTACTATTGCTACCTCTGGGTGTATTCACAAAAGATAGAAAGGGTAGTCTCAAAGAGATTTACACATCCATGCTTGTAGCAGTACTGTTTATAATAGTCAAGTTGTGGAAGAAACACAAATGCTTATCAACACAAATGCTTATCAACAAATGCATATATACATACCATGGAATATCCTCCAGCCTAATAGATGAAAGAAATCTTCTCATTTGCTACAATATAGATGTTGATGACATGATGCTAAGTGAATTAAAAGAGTCATAAAAAGACAAATCTTGAATGACTCCACTTATATGAAGTATATGAATTAGTCAAAATCATAGGAAAAAATAAATGGTAGGGAATGTTGAGGGAAGTGGAGAAAGGGGAGTTGTTTAAGGAGTATATAATTAAGATCCACAAGATGAAAAAGTTCTAGAGATTTGCTGCATAATACTGTGAATGTATTTACTACTGAATTACATTTAAAAATGGTTAAGATGGTAAATTTTATATCTTTTTAACCAGTATTTTGAATGAAAAAATGAATAAATCATTCCTTTTCCATGAACTCATACAATGTTTTTAGTTGGTATAGGTCTTTGAAGTCATGTAGTCCAAACTCCTCCTTTCACATATTAGGAAATTGAGATGCATAGTTATTAATTAATTTGTCCAATGTCATATACTTTGACAGATTTGGGACATGGGGACATGTCTTTTTATTCTTATGTTACTTCCACTTACTCACGCTACTCATGCCTCATTAGAGGTCAATTCCTTAGAAAAATGCAAACCAGATTCTCACTAGCATCTTCATCCAAGAAATAAGAAAAATATGAACAACTAGGCAACAAATGGGGCTAGGGAAAAGTGAAGAATTTGGGAATAAAAATGGGAAAATCAAACATCAGAAAAAAACTTCTGTCTTCAGAATGATATACAATATATTAGGGATTTGAGACCCAAAGATCTGATTGTCAATTATAATCAAGCCCGAATCTATTTTAAGAATTACTTGGAATACTGTCTAGTATTAAAATTCAAAGAGAGCTGAGATGTTAGTTGTCATTCTATAATTGCAGTTCCAATAGCAAGCACTTCTAAATTAACCACCTAATTTCCTCTGAAGCTATTATCTATGTTTAGAAAAGCTTTATTCAGGTGGACAGCCCAACTAATGTAAAGATATGCATGTTTTGCCACACATTTCATGTATGTTACCTAGTGGGGTACAAAAGACAGTTTTTGTTCTGCTATCCCTCTGGATTTACCTATCAATCCAGCCAAGAAAGGCATTTGACTATGAATATTATTACCTTATAAGGAAAGAAGAGAAAAAGCTGAAATTATCAGGTATTTTAAGGGAGTTAAAAATTCAAATTTACACCTTGGTTGCATAAATCCTGTTTAGAGTTTTTGTTGGGAGTCATATCAGTTTTCAAAAATGAAAATAGTTATTCAAAACTTCACAAGTAAATAATATTCTGTATATGTCATCATATTTTATTTGAGGTGTTTGCCCAGCTATGTGTTAAGGCCACATTGGCCTTCTATATTAACCTGTTTATTTAAAGCAGAAATGTAGCCTCTCCAGTATGTCTTCACCTTCTGGTGAAGCTGGCCTGACAAGATTTTGAGTGGGATCATGAAATTACTGAAGTTTTATTTTATACTTGGCATAGAAGCAAATTCCAGTTCTGAAGGATGCTATTAAACCCATCTGGTCAACTTATCGTTATTCTAATACATATTAGAATGGAAAGTTATGGAGCAGAATAATTAGTCTCCAAAAGATCAGTTAATACATGTTAATTTTCTGTAATTTATGTATTCTTTAGTAATAACTCTACATGTGATTAATTTAACCTTAGCTATTTCAGGTGGTGCCTATTTGTGCTGAGAATAACAAAAAATTATATTAGAACATAAACAAAAAACACCAAATGGACTTATTCATTATATTTTAAAATGTATTTGCAAAACAATAGAAATGTCAATGGACAATAACTTATATAGAATTTTTAGTACCTTAGTGAAAGTATTATACTACTTGACAAACAAAAACTGTATGTAAAATTAAGTAAAATGTGTACAAATCCCTAATAAATGCAGAAATATGAATTGCTTGTCATCAGTGTTAAATATTTTAATTTTTATAGCAAATTATGTGTATACTGCTAATATAAGTAGGATGGGACCTTTTGCATTAAAATGATGCCTGCATCAGACATTGTCTACATACACAATAATTCATACACACATCTTGGAAATATTTTTTTTTAGAGATGGAGTCTTGCTCTGTTACCCAGTCTAGAGTGCAGTGGCATAACCTCCACTCATTGCAGCCTGTGCCTTCCGGGTTCAAGCAATTCTCCTGCCTCAGCCTCCTGAGTAGCTGGGATTACAGGTGCTCACCACCATACCTGACTAACTTTTGCATTTTTAGTAGAGACAGGGTTTCACCATGTTGGCTAGGCTAGTTTTGAACTTCTGACCTCAAGTGATCTGCATGTCTCTGCCTCCCAAAATGCTGGGATTATAGGCATGAGCCACTGAGCATGGCCGGAAATAATTTTTTTTTTAGCTGAAGTAAGTAATTTTGTGCAGCAGTTAATATGAACCTAAAATACTTGACTAGATATTCATAGTCAATATAAACAAGGCAATCACTGAGAAATTCAAACTAAAACTTTTATTGAATAACCAAACAAATTGCAATAAACATATCTTTTGGTTTTAAAAACTCAACTCACAGTACATTTAAGTTTCTGCTTCTTTTGCTAGGGTAGACAGACCTACTCTAGCAGTTTTATAAGGCAACAATGAATATATAAATGTGTTCAAAATATATTCAGAAGGTTAGCAATACATCTATGCATAGAATGTATCCTCTCCTATGGTCTGATTGAGGAAAGCAGAAAGGTCAGCTGCCCAAAGATACATCTATCATTTGTTTGCTATGGACTCTTTGAGGACTGATTAGGCAGGAGATAGAAGTGGAAAACATATATATTCATTATCATAGATTATATATTATCAATTTGGCAGTTAGTTGTTAGATTAGCTTGCCTACCAGGTTGGAATGTCCAAGAAGGACAGGACACTGAGTCAGTATGTTCTGATTGTAGGGAAGGCCCAATAGGAAAGGATGAGTACATAGCGCTCTTCCAGGGAAAGCAGACCTACATGAACAACTTAATGGAACATCTTGGGTAACTGGATGATAGTTTAGAGGACATCGAGTTGAAAGAACATTGACAGCATGTATATATTACCTCCATTCTAATAATGTCTTTGTCCCAAAATATGTCTGTTTCAACAAATACATTTTTTTTTTTTTGAGACGGAGTTTCGCTCTTGTTACCCAGGCTGGAGTGCAATGGCGTGATCTCAGCTCACTGCAACCTCCGCCTCCCGGGTTCAGGCAATTCTCCTGCCTCAGCCTCCTGAGTAGCTGGAATTACAGGCACGCGCCACCATGCCCAGCTAATTTTTTTAATTTTTATTATTTTTATTTTTTTATTATTTTTATTTTTAATTTTTTTATTTTTTTAATTTTTTATTGCATTTTAGGTTTTGGGGTACATGAGCAGAGCATGCAAGACAGTTGCGTGGGTATACACATGGCAGTGTGTTTTGCTTCCTTTCTGCCCTTCACCCACATTTGGCATTTCTCCCCAGGTTTTTGTATTTTTAGTAGAGGCAGGGTTTCACTATGTTGACGAGGATGGTCTCGATCTCTTGACCTCGTGATCCACCTGCCTCGGCCTCCCAAAGTGCTGGGATTACAGGCTTGAGCCACCACGCCCGGCCAACAAATACATATTTAACCATTAAAATATAGATATATGCTTTTCTATTTCCACATTATTTGACACATTGTTCTGATGATTAAGAAGTCATTGTATATTTACCTGGTGAGTATCTCTGATATCTTTCTGATTAGCCATGAGATCTCCCTGAGTGGCCATGAGATCTGGGTGACCATGAAATTTCTCTGGGTGGCAATGAGATCTCTCTGAGTGACTATGAGATCTCTGAGTGGCTATGAGATCTCTCTGAGTGGCTACAAGATCTTTCTGAGTGACCATGAGATCTCTCTGAGAGACCATGGGATCTCTCTGAGTGGCTATGGGATCTCTCTGAGTGACCATGAGATTTCTCTGATTGGCCATCAGATCTTTCTGAGTGGCTATATCTCTTTGAGTGACCATGAGATCTCTCTGATTGGCCATGAGATCTCTCTGAGTGGCTATGAGATCTGTCTGTTTGACCATGAGATCTCTTAGATTGGCCATGAGATCTCTTTAGTTGCCCATGAGATCTCTCTGAGTGGCTATGAGATCTGTCTGTTTGACCATGAGATCTCTTAGATTGGCCATGAGATCTCTTTAGGTGCCCATGAGATCTCTCTGAATGGCTATGAGATCTCTTTAGTTGCCCATGAGATCTCTCTGAGTGGCTATGAGATCTCTCTGATTGGTCACAAGATTTCTCTGAGTGGCTATGATATCTCTTTGAGTGACCATTAGATCTCTCTGATTGGCCATGAGATCTCTCTGAGTGGCCATGAGATCTCTGTGAGTGACCATAAGATCTCTCAGAGTGGCTATTAGCTCTCTTTGAGTGACCACGAGATCTCTCTGAGTGACCATGAGATCGCTCTGATTGGCCATGAGATCTCTCTGAGTGACCATGAGATCTCTCTAATTGGCCATGAGATCTCTCTGAGTGGCTATGAGATCTGTCTGTGTGACCACGAGATCTCTTAGATTTGCCATGAGATCTCTTTAGTTGCCCATGAGATCTCTCTGAGTGACCATGAGATCGCTCTGATTGGCCATGAGATCTCTCTGAATGACCACGAGATCTCTTAGATTGGCCATGAGATCTCTCAGATTGGCTATGAGATCTCTTTAGTTGCCCTTGAGATTTCTCTGACCGACAATGAGATCTCTTTAAGTGGTTTCGGGATTGCTCAGAATGATGATTTTCTTCTTGTTGGCCCTGAGATCCTTCTGATTTGTCCAGATTTCCTTCTGATTGATGCTGGTTCCCCTCTGATTGGTCTTGATTCTTCTCTGCATGGGCCTTATAATTGTCATTGCACTTCTCCTGAAAAGAACCCCAATTATGCAAAACAAATTAAATATACACTCCATGATTTGATTTAGTCATAATAATATATTCTCAAGACCATTTTTATGGGCAACTGTTCCTTTTAGAATTCCACTATGCCTACTTTTATTTATCAACCAATTTTTAGAATTAGCTTACAGAATAGCTCCATTGTATCATGTCACTGGCACAAAAATGCTATGCAACTAAAACTTTAATAAAATAAAAAATAAGGAAAATTAGTTATTTTATGAGTTTGACTGTACTCTAAGGTCATGTTCTACCTACCAATTTCTGGATGTATGTTTTACTAAAGAAATAACAGATTCTGTGACTTTTTAGTTGAGGAAAGATAGACTATTTTGTAGTATAAGTCCTTAAGATCAAAAGGAAAGTGTTCGAAATCATATTGTTTACTCTTTGCCTACTCAATGATCATTAAAAAGAAACTATCTTTTCATTATAAATTAATACTTAATTCTAGAGAGAAAGATGAAGTAAGTGAGGGGAAAGGAAGCTGTAAAGGAAGCAGAAGGTTGGCTTAATACTATTCAAGTAAATTAGCCTGTAATAATACAGCCTTTCTACTTTTTTTTTCCAATTTTTTCTTTTTTGAGACAGAGTCTCACTCTGTCACCAGGCGCGACCTCTGCTCACTGCAACCTCTGCCTCCCAGGTTCAAGCAATTCTCCTGCCTCAGCCTCCCGAGTAGCTGTGGCTACAGGCGCATGCCACCATGCCCAGCTAATTTTTGTATTTTAGTAGAGATAGGGTTTCACCATGTTGGCCAGGATGGTCTCGATCTCTTGACCTCATGATCTGCCCGCCTCGGCCTCCCAAAATGCTGGGATTACAGGCGTGAGCCATCGCACCCAGCTTTTTGTTCCCCAATTTTTAAGCCAACAAGGCAGTGGAATGAATCAGCCAAATGGAAATAATGAAACCTTTGATGAAACTCCGATGCTGCATAAATGTAAGTTGATAGAGTCATATGGATCATGCTGAGAAATCAAGCTTTGTACTAGTAAATGTTGCCTGACAAACACAACATGCCCTAGATTTGGCATTATGACTTTCTAGTTTAACACTACCAGAAGTTGGAAGCAACTGCTAAACAGCAGAGGAGGTACCAGCACAAAACTATTATGGATAGAAAACTTCATTTAAAATAAAAAATGTGAAAAAATAGTTGTTTTGCTAAAACATAAAGCTATAGGTTTCCAGCTTTTGTAGTGAAAAACCTAAATAAGGAGATTGGGTGAAATGCACATGTATCTTTTGTCTTTTCTAAGTGACGTGTTGGGAACACGGTGGGTCAGTAGGAAAGATAGAATTGAGTTCCATCTTCTAAAGACCCATATGTATCCAAGTACCTTTCCAAAGGAACTTGCAGTCCCTTTTATGAATGTTTATATAAGAAATGTTTTCATCAACTTGTGTACTATATATTTCCTACCTTTAAAAAACAAAATGCACATTAGTTTTCTTTCCTTATAAACAAGTGAAACCTTCTATCAAAAGGTTGTGTTGAATACATACGTTGAATAAATACAGCTGTTTCACTGATAATAAGACTAAATCTTGCTAAGTACTAAATAACTTATTATAATTATAAAGTATTATTGAAAACTATTTATTCAGTTTATTGGTAAGATAATTAGCTTAAATTTTAATACTTTTCTTCATTGCAGGGTATTTTTTCTTTCTAGTGAGTTCGGCTATGATAGTCTCAAAAGTTTCAAAAATATAAATAATAGAAGGGTGCTTTCCCAGCCTGGGCAACATAGTGAGACCTCCTGTTGCCCAGAAAAGAAAAAAAAATTTAGCAGGGCATGGTGGCACTACAGAAAATAAAAAATTAGGAGGGCATGGTGGCATGTGCCTGCAGTCCAAGCTACTTGGGAGGCTGAAGTGGGAGGATTGCTTGACCCCAAGAGGTAGAAGGGAAAGTGAGCCATGATCACACCACTGCATTCCAGCTTAGGCAACAGAATGAGACCCTGTCTCAACAACAAAACCAAACAAAAGGACAAGAATACTTGCAATTTGAAAATACTGTTTAATATTTATTCTCAGTTTATTTATGCATCTTAGACTGTCTCAGAAGGAACCTCATGTTCTTCTTTCCAAACTTTATCAAAAAACTCCTCATCCTACAAGGCATAGATCATATGCCATCTCTTCCATCAAAATTTCTCAAGTACCCAAATCAGAATGAATTACTACATTGCCATAGTATATAACTTGTGCAATATCATGCACATACTGCATCCTGTCTGGCATTACATTTCTTTCTTATCTTTCTCTTCCACCATCATACAGACTATTTGAAGCTGGCCGTTCTGGTATTATAGTGCATGCATAGCCTAGGCAATGAATCATCATTTGCACAATTTAAAATAATCCTTTAAATATTTGAAAATGCAACATATTTTTCTCCAAAATTAATAAATGAACAAGCAAATAAATAAACATTTGCATTTACATAATTTGGCAAAAATGATTTAAGCTCCCAGAACCACCATTTTTGCCAAATGACCACATAACACCTTAAGAAGAATCGGTTCATAAGCCAGGCTGAACCATTACCATCAATGTTAGCTTATGAATCTAGATCTGAGCACCTCTCAAATTCCTGTCTAGTGACTGGCTCACCTATATGTGTTTAGAGGAAATGGATTTGTAATAGTCTGTGCTACCTGTTGCTTCCAAGAGTATATTTTGTATCTGATATAATCTGACTTCTGGCTTTTGCAGTTCATTCACAAAGATAGTGAAACTGTTTATGTATTATAACTTAAGCTCAAAGCCTCTATATGAGGACAAATAAAAATGATTACATAGGATGAATGACAATAACCAATAACCTCTGCTGGCAGACTGTGACTAGACTACTCTGTGCAGGGCAGAGCATCTATGAAAAAAGGCAGCAGCATGACAGGAACTTATAAATAAAGCTGACCTTCCTAGGACAGGACACCTGGGAAAAGAGGCAGTTATAGTTCTGCTGCAGCAGACTTAATAGTACCTGCCCAGAAGCTCTGCATGAAACAATGGAGCTCCCAGCACAGCACCTGAGCACCTATAAGGGACAGACTGTCTCCTCAAGCAGCTCCCAGACCCCGATATACCCAAAGAGACACCTCATAAAGGAGAGCTCAGGCCGTCATCTGACAGGTACCCTTCTGGGATGAAGATAACAGAAAACGAAACCGGCAGCAACCCATACTGTTCTGCAGCCCCCACAGGTGATCCCCAGGCAAGCAGGGTCTGGAGAGGACCCCCAGTAGTCCTGCAGCAGAGGGGCCTATTAGAAGGAAAACTAAGAAACAGAAAGAAATAACTTAATCATCAACAAGCAGAGACCCCATCCAAAAGTCACCAACTACAAAGACCACAGGTAGATAAAGCCATTAAGATGGGAAGAAACCAGCACAAAAAGGATGAAAACACCAAAAACCAGAATGCCTCTCCTCCTCCAAAGGATCACAACTCCTTATCAACTAGGGATCAAAGATGGATGGAGAATGAAACTGATGAATTGACAGAAACAGGCTTCAGAAGGTGGGTAATAACAAACTTCTCTGAGCTAAAAGAACATGTGCTAACCCAATGCAAAGAAACTTAGAACCTAGAAAAAAGGCTAAAATAAACAGCTTAGAGAAAAATATAAACGAATTGATGGAGCTGAAAAACACAGCATGAGAACTTCGTGAAGCATACACAAGTTTCAATAGCTGAATTGACCAAGCAGAAGAAAGGATGTCAGAGATTGAACATCAACTCAATGAAATAAAATGGGAAGGCAAGAATAGAGAAAAAAAAGAGTGAAAAGAAATGAACAGGGCCAGGCGTGGTGGCTCACACCTGTAATCCCAGCACTTTGCGAGGCCGAGGCGGGTAGATCACGAGGTCAAGAGATCGAGACCATCCTGGTCAACATGGTGAAACCCTGTCTCTACTAAAAATACAAAAAATTAGCTGGGCAGGGTGGCACATGCCTGTAATCCCAGCTACTCAGGAGGCTGAGGCAGGAGAATTGCCTGAACCCAGGAGGCAGAGGTTGCGGTGAGCCAAGATCGCGCCATTGCACTCCAGCCTGGGTAACAAGAGCGAAACTCCATCTCAAAAAAAAAAATCAATAAATCCAGGAGCTGGTTTTTCGAAAAGATCAACAAAATAGACAGACTGCTAGCCAGATTAATAAAAGTGAAAAGGGAGAAGAATCAAATAGATGCAATAAAAAATGATAAAGGGGATATCACCACTGATTCCACAGAAATACAAACTACCATCAGAGATTACTGCAAACAACTCTATGCACATAAACTAGTAAACCTGGAAGAAATGGATAAATTCCTGGATGCTTGCACCCTCCCAAGCCTAAACCAGGAAGAAGTTGAAACCTTGAATAGACCAATAACAAGGGCTGAAGTTGAGGCAGCAATTAAGAGCCTACCACACACAAAAAAGCCCAGGTCCAGATGGGTTCACAGCTGAATTCTACCAGACACACAAAGAGGAGCTGGAACCATTCCTTCTGAAACTATTCTAAATAATCCAAAAAGAGGGAATCCTTCCCAAATCATTTTATGAGACCAACATCATCCTGATACCAAAACCCTGCAGAGACTCAACAAGAAAAGAAAACTTCAGGCCAATATCCATGATGAACATAGATGCCAAAATCTTCAATAAAATACTGGCAAACCGATTGCAACAGCACATCAAAAAGCTTCTTCATCACTATCAAGTAGGCTTCATTCCAGGGATGCAAGGCTGGTTCAAAATACCCAAGTCTATAACTGTAATCTACCACATAAACAGAACCAAAGACAAAAACCACATGATTATCTCAATAGATGCAGAGACAGCCTTTGACAAAATTCAACAGTCCTTTATGCTAAAAACTCTCAATAAAGTAGGTATCAAAGGAACATATCTCAAAACAATAAAAGCTATTTGCCACAAACCTACAGCCAATATCATACTGAATGGGCAAAAACTGGAAGCATTCCCTTTGAAATCTGGCACTAGACAAGGATGCCCTCTCTCACCGCCTATTCAATATATTATCAGAAGTTCTAGCCAGAGCAATTAGGCAAGAAAAAAAAAAGGGTATTCAATTAGGAAAAGAGGAAGTGAAATTTTCTCTATTTGCAGACATGATTGCATATTTAAAAGACCCTATCATCTCAGCCCCAAATCTCTTTAAACTGATAAGTAACTTCAGCAGTCTCAGTATACAAAATCAATAAGCAGAAACCACAAGCATTTCTATACACCAATAACAGACTAACAGAGAGCCAAATCATGAGCAAACTCCCATTCACAATTGCTACAAAGAGAATAAAATACTTAGGAATACAACTAACAAAGGATGTAAAGGACCTCTTCAAGGAGAACTGCAAACCACTGCTCAAGGAAATAAGAGAGGACACAAACAGATGGAGAAACATTCCATGCTCATGGTTGGGAAGAATCAATATCATGAAAATGGCCAAACTGTCCAAAGTAATTTATAGATTCAACGCTATCTCCATGAAGCTACCAATGACCTTCTTCACAGAATTGGAAAAAAACCACCTTAAACTTCATATGGAACCAAAAGAGAGTCCGCCTAGCCAAGACAATCCTAAGCAAGAAGAACAAAGCCAGAGGCATCATGCTACCTGATTTCAAACTATACTACAAGGCTACAGTAATCAAAACAGCATAGTACTGGTACCAAAACAGAGATATAGACCAATGGAACACAACAGAGGCCCTGGAGGCAATGCCACACATCTACAACTATCTGATCTTTGACAAATCTGACAAAAACAAGCAATAGGGAAAGGATTCCCTGTTTAATAAATGGTATTGGGAAAACTGGCTAGCCAAGTGCAGAAAGCAGAAACTGGACCCCTTCCTGACACCTTACACTAGAATTAACTCCAGATAGATTAAAGACTTAAACATAAGACATAACAGCATAAAAACCCTAGAAGAAAACCTAGGCAACACCATTCAGGACATAGGCATAGGCAAGGACTTCATGACTAAAACACCAAAAGCATTGGCAACAAAAGCCAAAATAGACAAATGGGACCTAATTAAACTCCAGAGCTTCTGTACAGCAAAAGAAACAATCATTAGAGTGAACCGGCAACCAACAGAATGGAAAAAAATTTTTGCAATCTACCCATCTGTCAAAGGGCTAATATCTGGAATCTACAAAGAACTGTAACAGATTTACAAGAAAAAAACACATAACCCCATCCAAAAGTGGTGAAGGATATGAACAGACACTTTTCAAAAGAAGACATATATGAGGCCAACAAACATGAAAAAACACTCATAATCACTAATTATTAGAGAAATAAAAATCAAAACCACATTGAGATACCACCTCACACCAGTTAGAATGGTGATTGTTAAAAAATCTGGAGACAACAGATGCTGGAGAGGATGTGGAGAAATAGGAACACTTTTACACTGTTGGTGGGAGTGTAAACTAGTTCAACCATTATGGAAGACAGTGTGGTGCTTCTTCAAGGTCCTAGAAATAGAAATTCCATTTGACCCAGCAATCCCCTTACTGGGTCTATACCCAAAGGATTATAAATCATTCTATTTAAAAAAAAACACATGCACATGTGTGTTCACAGCAGCACTGCTTACAATAGCAAAGACCTGGAACCAACCCAAATGCCCAGCGACAATATACTGGACAATGAGAAGGTGGCACATATACATCACAGAATAGTACGCAGCCATAAAAAATGAAGAGTTTGTGTCCTTTGTAGGGACATGGATGAATCTAGAAAGCATAATTCTCGGCAAACTGACACAAGAACAGAAAATCAAACACCGCATGTTCTCACTAACAGGCGGGTGTTGAACAATGAGAACACATGGACCCAGGAAGGGGAGCATCACACACTGGGGTCTATTGAGGGGTGGCCAAGGTAGGGACAGTGAGGGGTGGGGAGGTCAGGGAGGAATAACATGGGAGAAATGCCAGATGTAGGTGACGGGGGGATGGAGGCAGCAAACCACATTGCCATGTGTGTACCTATGCAACAATCCTGCATGATCTGCACATGTACCCCAGAACCTAAAGTACAATAATAATAAAAAAAATTAAAAAATAGTTGCAGGGGAAAAATCAACTACCAAACATTGAATTTAAATTATGTTCAAGGTACCTTGGAGGAATACCAAGAAACAATCCTTGCTTTCAATAGAATTTAAAGTAAATCATTAATATTAAAAATATATTAAATATAGGACTTTTTATATTGGTAAATTCTTGTTTTTTGTTTACCTGCTCAAATAAAGGCTTCCTATTTAAAGGGTGTTGTCCAGACTTCAATCCAGAAGGTTCTTGAGATGGTTTTTTATCATGATTTCCTTCCTCAAAGTTGCTTCTGAATCTTGAGTAGCCTTTGAACAATAAGCATTTTCTGTATTTTCAAGTAGTAAATTCAATGCATCTTTCAGAAGTATTATCTCTGATCTCATTTTTTTTTAAAAGCTATGCACTGGGTTTTGCAAAACTTTTGATTTTTCATTACTTTGATATAATCTGGTAATCTCACTGAATTCTAGAAGTCTTTGCCATACTATTTCAATTTGCACACCTTAATAGGATAGTCTCAGTACATATATCTCAATTTTGGTTTTATATGCCACCAAAGTTGGGACATACTATCTGAAATTAATTGAAAGAATACTCCAATAGAAAAAGGAGAGATAGAGAGAAAGTGTCTGCTTTGTTTGGGCATAAAGGCAGTTTAAGAAACCATCAAATAATATAGATCTCCAAAAGGCTCACGAAGAAGATCAATTTTGCAATGACTGTTTAGGCACATAAGAATGGGCCATGTTACCCTTCTTGGCTGCTCTGCCCTTATTATAAGTACCATCGCTTCTCTTTTCAGAACATGATGAGCCACTGAAGATTTACACAAGAACTTAAATGAAGCTGCATAGGCAACCATCAGGGGCTTAGAGTAATCACAATGTCAAAATGGTTTCAATCTATTGACTAGACTATGAAGACCTTTAATTGTTCAAAAGACTCCTTGTATTATGGCAATCTGTAGCACATTCATTTAAAAAAATACATACTGCACTTACCAATGAGGTTAGGAATACAGAGAACATCTGTCATGTTCTACCCTACTCTTGTTGTCCTACAACATTTGTATTTTCAAAATGTGGATGCCATAGTGTTCAGATTATTGACTATGCTCTTAACCCTCCTGTATTGCCTCCTAAAAGTAGAACTGGACCAACCAACCGAGGTTTGTAAACAAGTACAAAATATCTCTCAGCTCGTATGGCTAATTTTCTTATCCCATTCTCCATTAGGGAAGTAACTTATATACATTAAAATAAATTTTTATTCATATGACATGGCATAAATTCTTACCAACCCTGTATGGGTCCATGCCTAGAAAAAATAAAACAAGCAACATAATGTAACTTTAGAACAATGTGAATTCTTGATTTTGCTTACCTAGTTATTCACAAATATTTCAGACTCTTTTTACCATGTGTGACTATTTTTAACATATTTACCTCTCTGATGGCGATGTCCATGACCATTTGATTGTTGTCTTGAAGGCAAATCCTTTTTACTATGAATCTGTCTTGTATTCCTTTTTTCTATTTCAGCATTTATCTTTTCTAACTTTTTATAGAGTATAATGTCATCTGTATTAGAAAATACATAAAAAAGGAATAAAATGGCAAAAAACAAATTACAACGTCTCACATGAATAATCTATATCCTATCTCATCATATTTCAGAATACCAAAAAACTGATAACCCTAAAAGAAGATAACATAATAATAATGAATTTGTTAAATTATAATAAAGGTCAAACAATACAGACATCTTAGGGTTTGCTGGAACAAGAAAGAAAAATTCCTGTTGGATTTATGGTAACTTCATTTATGCAAAAGCAAAATACTTCCACATTGCAATAGCTGGGTGGGAGGTGGCGAAGATCATCTAAATAAATGATTTTACTAAATGTTATTTCAGTGTCATAGAAATACAGAGCAATAGAGTCATTATAGCACAGCTCACAGCTAAGTAAATGCAAATCAGCAATTAAATGTAAAGCGATAGACCATTAAATGTCTATCTGATTAAGTGTGATAGACAATTAGTTACATGCATTTTATCAAAAACTAACGAAGAAAAAGGAAGTGACAAAAGTAAGAAAGTGGTGATGGAAGTAGGAGACACCACAGAAGTGAGGAACCTAGATTATTGTATTAGGAGGAAGCAATCCGACTTTACTTTGTAGTCAGGCACGTACTTATGTACTCAGGCAGAGAGCACTTACATGGCATAATTTAAAGAATGGGGGACAGATACAACTTGCTCTAAAATATCTCCCCTAACATCTAGAATGGAAGAGTCTACAGGTGGGATGTTCTATCAGTGGATAATACTTTACTTATGTCAAGGCATCTTTAGAAATAAGCACAAGCTCCCAGAGCTTCTGGAAGCTACACTCAGGAAGAAGGTTAAAAAAAAAGAAAGAAAGAAAGAACCACAGGCTAGGTATTTGGAAAAAACTGGAAATTCTAAAATTAAAGAGGAGCTGAAAAAGATATAAAAGAGGCAGTTGGGTGACACAGATTAACCACTTCTTTATTAATTTGCTTAGTACTAGTTCTGCCTTAGGTCTCTAAATATCTGATTCTGGGTTAGGGAGCAAGATGGTGGAATAGAAGACTCCACTGATCGTCCCCTGCTCCCCGCGCAAGGACACAAATTTAACAACTATCTACACAGGAAAACACCTTCATAAAAAAAACAAAAATCAGGTGAGTACCCATAGTAACTGGTTTTAACTTTGTATCACTGAAAGAGGCACTGAAGAGACAGAAAAAACAGTCCTGAATCGCCAATGACACCCCTCCCCCGCTCCCAGCAGCAATGGCATGGTGGTCCCAAGAGCATCTCTGGGCACTGGGGGTCGAAAAACACAGCAATTGTGAGGCATTGAATTTAGTGATGTCCTGTTACAGCAGAAAGGAAAACTGGACTAAACTCATCTGACACTTGCCCATGGAGGGAACATTTAAAGCACCCCCAGCCAGAGAAGAATCACCCATCATGAGTTCCCACAAACCTCTCCACCAAGGGCTACAGTGCTCTGGATCTCCAAGTAAACTTGAAACGCAGTCTAGGTCAAGTTTTCTAACCTGCGGCTTGCAGGCAGCACACAGCATAGAATGATTTTGAATGCAGCCCAACACAAATTTGTAGACTTTCTTAAAACATTATAAATTCTTTTTGTAATTTTTTTCTTAGTTCATTGGCTTAGTGTATTTTATGTGTGTCCCAAGACAATTATTCTTCCAGTGTGGGCCTGGGAAGCCAAAAGATTGTCAACACCTGGTCTAGGCCATAAGGACTATAACTCTCAGGCAAGCCTTAGTGCTGAACTGGGCCAACAGAATGTGGACTGGGGAAGGGGGGCACATGAGATACTGAGACACCAGCTGGGGCAGCCAAGGGAGTGGTGGCATCACCCCTTCCCTAACCCCAGGCTGCACAGTTCACAGCTCCAAAAGAGACCTTTTTCTTCCACTTGAGAAGAGAGGGAAGAGGGGGAGGACTTTGTCTTACATCTTGGATACAAGTTTAGCCACGGCAGGACAGGGCACTGGTTAGAGTAATGAGGTTCCTGTTTCAGGGTCTAGCTCCTGGACCTCATGCCTAAACACACCCTAGGCCAGAAGGGAACTGACCACCTTGAAGGAAAGGACTCATTCCTGGCAGAATTCATCGACCTTTAACCAAAAAGCCCTTGGGCCCTGAATAACTATTAGCAATACCCAGGTACTATGTTGAGGGCCTTGGGTGAGCCTCTGAGACTTGCTGGCTTCAGGAACCAGCATGGCCACAGAAAGGTAGAGAACCCAGTAGACTCTTGGAATCCCTGATTCCAGGATTTGACTCTTGGATAACACTTCTAGAACTGCCCTGGGTCAAGGGGAGCTCACTGCTCTGAAGGGTGAGTCTCAGACCAGGCAGCATTCATCCCAAGCTGACTTAAGAGCCCCTGGGCCTTAAGGGAATATCTATGGTAGTCCAGCAGTACTCTTCCTGGCCTATGGTGACTGGCCATGGGGTGAGGCTCCTCTGCCTTTGGAAAGGGAAGAGTGGCAAGGACTGCATCTTGTGGTTTGAGTGCCAGCTCAGCCATAATACGATAATTTGGCATACAGGTAGACTTCTAAGGTTTCTGACTCTAGGTCCTGAGTCCCAGATGTCACTTCTGGACCCACCTCAGGCTCTCAGGACCTTGCCACCCTGAAGGAAAGGACACGGGCTTGGATGGTTTTGCCACTGGCTGATTGTAGAGCTCCAGGGCCTTGATCAGCTAGGCAGTAGCCAGGAGTATTTGCAGCAGACCGAAACCCAGAGCTGTGCTGGCTTTGGGTCTGATCCAACACAGTCATATTGGTGGTGGCCACAGGGGTGCTTGTGTCACTCCACCCCAGCTTTGGGTGGCTCAGCACAGAGACACTCTGCTTAGGACAAAATGAGGGAAAAGAAGAAGAGTCTCTGCCTCGTGATCTAGAGAATTCTTCCAGATCCTGTCCAAAACCATCAAGACAGTATCTCTATGAGTCTGCAAGAATCACAGTGTTACTGGGCTTGGGATGTCCCCTGTGGGAAGTAGAAAACTTCCTTTTTAAAGTTTCCTTTCTTGTTAAAGAATAAGTGTGTTAATATCTTTGTTAAGCCCTATCCTATGTAGCTGTTAAACATGCCATGCTTACAGGCACGTAGTATAGTCTATGTCATTGTACTTTAACCAAAATATTTGTGCTGGACGTGCTCACAGGTATGCCCCAGCTCTCCACTGCTTTTATCTGTTTAAAAAAGTTTTAAGTTGTTAGTCAATCTGGTTTTAGTTTAAATTGTGAGGTCTGGCTGCAGCCAGGGGAGATCAAACACAACAGTAAGGACAATCCCAAATGCATAAGGGATAAATCTGTGTGTTTTCCTTTGTTCATTGTACTTTTGTGGCATGATAGCTAACAAGGGTACCCTTCTTGCAGTCCAGGAAGTAAAAATTGCATTGCTGAAAGATCCTTGTCTCTGTGCTGATTTTCTTTGTGGCACTGAGCATCTATTTCCAACATCCTCTAAAGTAGAAACTGCTTAGACCACAACACTGAAGTCCTTTCAAATATCTGGAAAGCATTCCCAAAAAGGATGAGTACAAAGAAGCCCAGACAGTGAAGGCTACAATAAATACCTAACCCTTCACTGCCCAGACCCTGAAGAACATCTAATATCAACAATATCCAGGAAAACATGAACTCACCAAATGAACTAACTAAGGCCCTAAGCACAAGTCTCAGAAAAACAAGAGACATGTGACCTTTCAGACAGAGAATTCCAAATAGCTGTGTTGAGGAAACTCAAATAAATTCAAGCAAACACAGAAGGAATTAAGAGTTCTATCAGGGAGGGACTCAAGATGGCACGGTGAGAACAACCCAGGATTGAAGCTCTCGGTGAATGCACAGAGGGTGAGTCAGGGCTGCATTTCCAGACGGATCTTTGTTGCCCACAGAATGGGGAAATCCCCAGGTATAAAAGAGATGCGGGATGCCAGGCAGAGGTTTAGGCTGGTGCAGCCGGCAGCCAGTGCAGCCGGCGGCCGACGCTGTAGAGCAGCGGCGCTCCACAGCGCTCCGCACAAAGCGCACTGGTCCGGGTGCCCTGTTGAACTGGCAATCTGAGACTTGAGAGGGCTGAACTTGAGACTGAATGGGACTTGGACAGTGAGCCAGGCCAGGAGATTCCAGGGAAACAGCGTTTGGGGTAGCGCAGTGGGACAAACAAAACGGCGATTCCAAACGCTCTGGGTGGAGAGGTTCCCTGAGGGCACAGCTGAACCCAGGATGGTGCAGCACTGTGGGGGAGGGGCGTCCACCATTACCGGCAATCCGCCACTACTGAGGTACACGCCCATTGCTGACGCAGCCTGCCATTGCCGAGGCAACCCGCCACAACAGAGAGACTCTGCCGCAGGGCGTAGCCCATGGCAGCAGGGCGGAGACCGCAGCAGCAGGGCAGAGCCTGCAGCAACAGGGCAAACCTCACACCAGCAGGGCGGAGCCTCGGCAGGCAAATAGTGACTAGACTGCCTCCTAGCTGGGCAAGACAGCACAACAGACACTCACAAAGAAAGCCCCAACCCCCCGAGACAGAGCATCTGAGAAAAAAGGTGTTTTTTTGTGAGTTCTGCTGCAGCAGAATTAAACATAGCAGCCTAACAGCCCTGAATGAACAACAGAGCTCACAGCTCAGCACTTGAGCTCCTATAAAGTACAGACTGTCTCCTCAAGTGGCTCCCTGACCCCTCTATATCCAAAAGACTGACATTTGGCAGGCATCCTTCTGGGACAAAGATAGCAGAGGAAGAAACTGGTAGCATCCCTCACTGTTCCGCAGCTGCTATAGGTGCACCCCAGACAAGCAGGGCCTGGAGTGGATTTCAGCAGTTGTACAGTGGAGGGGCTAGACTGGTAGAAGGAAAACCAAGTAACAGAAATACTTTATCATCAACAATCTGGGCATCCACTCAGAGACCCAATCAAAAAGTCAGCAACTACACAGACGACAGGTGGATAAATCCACAAAGATGGGAAGAAACCAGTGCAAAAAGGAG